GTAACTTTTGGCAGGGGGAGGGGTGAGTAGGAGCCAGCATTCCTTTTATCTATTGCTGTATGACAACAACCTCCCCCAAGGCTCAGAGGCTTGAACTAACAACCATTTTTTTATTATATTATATACTTGCAGGTCAGAATGTGGGGTGGAGTCAGTTGGGTCATTCTTTTGATCCACATGGCATGACTGAAGTCACATGTTCACCCGGAGCTGTTCTGGAGGGTCCGACATGTCTTCACTAATGTGTGTGGTCTGTTGGTCGGAGCGGCAGAAAGGCGGTGCTCGTCTGGACGGTTGGGCGGAGGGACTGCACGTGGATTCTTCAGTGTCATGGTCCCAGGGTAGTTGGATTTCCTACATTGAGACTCAGGGTTCCCAGAGAGAGGGTTTGAGATACACTGTGGGAGCTGCAAGCCTTCTTTTTTCTTTTAAGATTTTATTTATTTATTTTTAGATAGAGGGGTAGGGAGGGAGAAAGAGAGAGGAACATCAATATATGAGAGAAACACCGATCAGTTGCCTCTTGCACATGCCCCAACCGGGTACCTGGCCCACAACCCAGGCACGTGCTATGACTGGGCATTAAACTGACAACCTTTTGACTTCTGGGATGATGCCCAGCCGGCTGAGCTACCAGTCAGGGCACTGCAAGCCTTCTTATGACTTAGATTCAAAGTCCAGGAATGTCACGTTCACCACGTTCTATCAGGGAAACAAGTTACTCAGTCCAGCCCAGGTACAAAAGGAGGAAAATTAGAGTCCATCTCACAGTGGGAGGAATAACGAAGGCCATGTGTCACCTTTAATCCACCAGCAAGTCATCATCCGGGTTAGCCGGTGTTTGAGGAATGCGCTGGGGAGTGATGAGCCTGACATGGAGAGGAACTTGAATGTCAAGGCAAGGGCTGCGGAGACAGTAGTAACGCAGAGAGTGCAGGTTCTGAAACCAGAAAATTCAGTGTTTGTGCTGTCAATCACTGCCAGAACCAATAAGAAGAGACAAGGAGTGAAATTTTATGGGCACTTTTTTTGTATGGCCGGGGATCTGAGAAGACAGCGGGTTATGTACCCTCAAGAACTGTCCTAACATCTCATTTCAAGGGGACCTTTTTATGAGGAGAAGAAAGGGTGGGTAAGGGGTTTAGAAAAAGGCTAACTGGATAAAAGATTAGATAAGGTGTTTGGAGAAAAGGTTAATTGATAGGAGTTGCAGTCAGGCAGGAGTTTTCCTAGTACTTTATCTGTTGGTCAGCAATTGTTTATCTGCATCAGGAGCGTTCCCTCCCCAGAACACAATGGCTCAGATACTGTCTCCATGGCTTGCAAACCCCCTGGGGTACAAGGGTTGAACTGCTTGTCCACCTGGAGTCATGTGTTCATGCATTCCAGTTCCTGGAATAACAGCTTTCCACATGCAACAGTCACCTACTTCTATCTACTGAGGCTAAAATCTTTAACTCTTGAGTTACAGCTTTCCACATGCATTTATCACGCAAGCCTATCATCTAAAGCTAAAATCTTTAACTGCTGAGTTATAGTTGTGATCACTTAAGCCTGCTGACCAGCGCTAAAATCTGTAACACTTGAATTCCCCAATCAGTTCTAGAGTCAGATTCAAATTCAAATCCCAGCTCTGCCACTTACAACCTCTGCCACTTACAACCTCTGCCGAGCAGGCTGTTCTTTTCTCTGAGCCTCAGTGTTCTCATCTGTAAAATGAGATCACTTCCTACTTCACAGTATTGCTGTCAAGATTAGAAGGGATGGTATTTACAAAGCACTTCTCAGGGTACCTGCTCCAAGTTAGTCTCAATAAATGGAGCCATTATGATTTATCCTGAGTAGCACAGAGAGCCAGGACAGGATCTTACAAAAAAATTCCTCTAGTTTCCACATTGTGTCAGAAGAATCATTTTTGACCTGCTCCCTGCCTCACTCCTGAGACCACAAAAGTCAGTGTTCGTGCTGCCTGTCACTACCAGAACCAATAAGTAGAGACAAGGATGGAATCTTTATGGGTTCTTTACTCAGATGCCAGTGATCTGAGAAGATGATGGGTTATGTACCCTAAAAACCATCTTAACATCTCATCTCAAGCCAGCCTTTATATAAGAAGATGGAAAGGGTAAGTAAGGGGTTTGGGAAAGAGTTAGCAGGTAAGAGTTACAGTCAAGCCTGATTTGCCTAGGACAGGCGTCCCCAACCCCTGGGCTGTGGACCAATATCAGTTCGTGGCCGGTTAGGCACTGGGCAGTGCAGGAGGTGAGCGGCAGGCAAGCGAACGAAGCTTCACTCACTTTACCTCCTGAGCTCCACCTCCTGTCTCCACGGCCTCGTCCGTGGAAAAATTATCATCCATGAAACCATTCCATGGTGCCAAAAATGTTGGGGACCACTGGCCTAGTATTTCTTTATCTACTGATCAACAATTCTTTATCTATTTCTTTATCCAGGGGGCCTTCCCTCCCTGGAACAAAATGGCTCTGATACCATCTTGACGCACACAGGTTGAACTGTTTGTTGACCTCTGGAGTCATATAGGTCACATATTCCATTTCCTGGAATAATAGCTTTCTACCTGCATTAATCACTTAAGCCTATCAACTATAACTAAAGCTAAAATCTTTAACTCTTGAGTTCCCCTATCTCTCCCACATATAATCCAAATCAAGTTCAGCTGATTTTACCCCCTACATGCAGCTTGACTCTGATCTGCCCCCACTGTCACCAGCCCCTCCACCTGGGCCACTATAGCTGCATCCTTCCTGGTCTCCAGACTTGCCCTCCCCTCCCTGCAGCTGAGAGAGGGTCGATAAGCCAGGACAAGTGGAATACAGAAACTGAGATAGCTAGTTAAATGGCCAAGCAGTTTATAGCATCTCGTAAATCACAAAATCCTATCTTCCCTAACCAAAGACATTTGAAAGTAAATGTTTTACACTTCTTCCAACCAGAGGGTAAGAGCTTAAATCACCCCTACTCAGCAAGATAGCTGACAGAAATCCAGTTAGCTCCATTTTTGCCAACCACACCAAAAAATGAGTCAAGGGAATCAATTTCATTTTGGCATATCAGCATAAGGCTGATGAGCATTCTATTGAGATCCTCCCCTAGGACCTCTCCTAAAACTCCCCGCTTTACAAAACAGGTAAAAACCTTCAAGAAAAAGACCCAGAGGGGCTCTCTCTGGAGCACACCCACACCTTTCTTCCCTCTCAGGTGTGCACCTTTACTTTTCTCTCCTAAACTCTAAGGGTCTCCATGAGACTTGGAATGGGGGGAACTACAGGCAGTGACATCTCGCCCCGGGCTTACTGCCTGAACCTGTCCCCAAGGCCTCCTTTTCTCTGACTTCTCAGTGAGCTAACAGCAGGCCTGCCATGGCTCACTTCTGTCACTGTGATTTTTACTTCTTAGTGAGTCCACGCAGCCCCATGTGGCTCACTTCTTTGCTACAACATTTCTAGAGATCCAAAGCAGAGCACCGCCTAGGCTCTCTCATGTTGCTTCTACCCTAAGACCTTCATTTGTTTCACTGTCCTCAGCTTTAACAAATGTACTCTCAAAATCATCTGGACTTGTGTTGTGAAATTTTTCCCAGTACCATCCTGTCTGAGGCAGGTCTGCTCTGGTCTGGTCCCTTTCTGGGGACACAGTGTACCCAGGCTTAACCTGCAACATGCATGTGAGACAATTGGGGATCTTGTTAAAAGACAGATTCCAGTTCAGGCCTGGGACGAGGTCTGAGAGTCAGCAGTTATAATCAGCTCCCAGGTAACGTCGGTGTCAATGATTCCCAGAATAAACTTTTAGGATTCTTTTCCCAAAAAACATTTGATTCTGTCTTACCTCCACTTAAAACCCTCCACGGATTTTCCTGCAGTCTCAGGGGAGAGACCTCACTGTACCCCACAGGCTTTATGTGACCTCATTTTCACCTGATTTTCTAGCCCCTTGCCCTCCACTCTCCTTTCCTTTCTCCTTATTTATTATCAATTTATTTATAATATAATGAAATGAAATAAAACCACCATCCCACCCAAGCACTGGAACATTACCAATAACCTGAATGTAACCTGTATGTTCCTCCCCTCTCCTGACCTGAGATAACCATTCTTAAGTTTGTGCTTGTCTTTCCCTTGATTTAAAACATTTTCTACCAAACGCATGTGTCAAAACATGTATATTTTTGGTCTTGCTTTTATTACACATTCTAAAAGTTGCATCATAGTGTATGTAGTTTTCTGTGACTTTTTCACCCTTCATTGTTTCTGAGATAGACGTGTTGCTGTTTGCTGCTGAAGTTCATTCAGTTTCACTGCTGTGTAATATTCCATGGTGTGAATGTTCCACAGTTTATTTGCCCGCTCGCCTGGGGATGGGCATCTGGGGTGTTTCCAACGTTTTTGGTATTCTCAGAAGCTCAGGTGCGTACGTTGTCTGGCTTGCCCTCTCCCACTCCAACCCCCTTCACCTGGCAACCAACTTCAGGTCCCAGACGAGCCTTCCCCAATCTGCAGGCTACGTCTGTTCCCCGTTAAAGCTCCCTAACTATACATTCATGTAACGCGATTATGTGATGAGCGTGGGTCTAGCCGGGGTAGAGCGAAGCCCACAAGGTCTGTGATGCTCCTGGTTCCCAGATGCCCGCGGGAGCCTGTCATACTGTAAACGTCCAGGCAGAGGCTCAGTGCCGCTCTGAGGGGCCGGCAGGAGGCAGAGCCAGGAGGCGACGGGCGCCTGAGCCCACAGGTGTCTGCAAGGGCAACTTCCGGGGCGTTTTGGGGTGGGCCAAGGCAGGGAGGGGACTTGAGTTTGTCCCCGCTGCTGAGTTGAGCGGGAATTCCAGGAAAAGCGCCCGATGGGCACCGCGGAGTGGGGCGGGGCCTGCGGCGACAGGGGGCGGGACCTGAAGCGGCAGGGGGCGGGCGGGGGCGGGGCCTGCCGGCCCCGTTAAGTAGGGAGTGGCGGGCCACGGTTACAGCGGGAGAAACCGGCCAGAGTGTCCTGCTGAGCGGTAAACCACCTGCATTCAGCGGAGGGAGCAGCGCCGGGGCACACGCTTGGCACCATGACCCAGACGCCCGCCTTCAACAAGCCCAAAGTGAGAGCGGGCCGGGGCCGGGGCCGGGGCCGGGCCCGGGACTGGGACTGGGACTCGCGGTCGGGGTTCTAGCTCCTTGTCTGGCTGGAGGGCTTAGGGGCTTCCACGGCGCAGGAGCGGACGGGGGCGCCTGCAGACGCTTCTTCCCTCAGCTCAGGCCCTCGTCCGTCCGCCCCGGGTCTGTTTAGTGAGAGACAATGAGGGAGGAACTGTCTTGAATTTGGAGGCACCTCTGGCTGCCTTCAAAGTTCTGCTTCCGGCGCTGACTTGGCCCTTCTGAGTCTCAGTTTCACCATCTGTCAAATGGGCTTCCCAGCCTGGGGCCCCTTGTCTACAACCGTAGGTATCTCGTGTTGTGTATAGTGAGTGCTGAGCGCTCTGTGAATTATCCTTTAACATTGTGTTGGTTTTGTCCACGGCGAGGAGTCCGTTGTGGATGTGCCGGTGGGAAGAGCCATGAGCCATGCCAGAGATAGGAGCAGAGAGCTCGGGTGGGCCTTAGGACTTGCACTCTTCTGGTAAGATTCATCTGGCCACTGGCCCCAAGGGATCTCTCTCTTGACTCTCCTCCGGCCAGCTGTGGTATCTTGGGAATGGTGGGGTCAGGGAGAGTCCAAGCCACTGGCTGTGCTTCAGAGCACTGAGGTTCATCCAGGGAGGGGAGCAACCAAAAGTCTGCCCAGCAGAGTGAATCGCCTCGTGGGGTTTGAGACTGCAGAGGGTCAGGGGAGGATGTGAGTTTCATTTCAGTCTACCTGAGAAACAGGTATAAGTGATGAGGGCAGATGTCACAAACTGTTGGTGAGAATCCTGTGTCTGTATGCAGAGGAGAGAGGAAGAAACGGGGGGGACTCTGAGGAGGTAAGTCCCAGCCCCCCGATCCCCCGCGGCTGGTGCCACCACAGAGCTCAGCTACGTCCTGCCAGGTGTTCCAAGTTTTGGGGAAGCACTTTTGCCCCCGATCCCCAATGCCTCCTTCACACCTTGTCCAAATGCAGGTGCCACATGATTAGTGGTTCCTTCCTTTGAAGGTTTTTTGTTTTATTTTTTTAAACTGTTTGGGATTCCCTCTACCCTTGGGCTGGAGAACCACCTTACCTGATATGAATGCCAAGGCAGTAGACAAACCCCCTTGACTGGGAGTGAAATGAGATTATGGAGGTAAATAAAAGGTGACACTTCTATAGATTTTTGCTACATGCGCCAAGTTGATCCTTGTAACACTTTTTTAACAGTCCCGTGGGAGAGTGACTATTACCATTATCCCTAATTTTTGGCCTCGCCCAATCCTCTCTGACTGAAGCAGGCAGGTCATTTCCCCTCTCTGGGCCTCAGTTTCCGCACATGGGAAATGGGCCCCACCTGCTTGTAGAGGTATCCAGAGGTCACCCAGTGTGTGCTAAATTTTATATTTTCAGGAAGAGGGAACATGCCTGAACTGGCAGGGGAAGCCAGAAAGAGCATGAGTCTCAGCCACTGCCACGAGAGCCAGCTCCCTGCCTCCCCAATGGGTGGGGCAAACAATTAACTACTGGTGTTCACTGAGTTGCATTATAGCTCCGTGCCAGGTACCAATCTGACACATTATCTGCAGTAACTCATTCGATTCTAACAGTGGCTCTGCGAGGTAGCTGGTGTCCACCTCTTTTATAGGCAAAGAAACAGAGGCACAGGGATTAACTAGAGTAGCCCATCACAGTAGCCAAGCTAGGGTTTGAGCCCAGTGGGGCTGGCTTCCCTGTAACTAGCTTTCCTGAACTGCCTCTGCAGAAGCCTTTGAGGGAGGAGGTGCCAGGGCCCCAGGAGCGGGCCTCTCTGGCATCTCATACATGCCTCCAGGTGAGGCCCAGGGCCTGGCGCCCTTTAAGAAGTCAGAGCAGAGCAGTGCTTCCCAAACTTAAGGTGTACTCTAATCACCCGACTTTTGTTAGTTAACATTCAGACTCTGGATCAGGAGGTCTAGTGTGGGCTGAGATGCTGCGCTTCTGATGAGTTCCCAGGTGATGCTAATTTGGCTGCCCCAGGGTCCACGCTGGAGGTAGCAAGACCCTGCGCAGCTGCCTATGTCATTTGAATATCGTGTTCTGACAACTGCTTCCTGAGTGCCTGCTGGGCCCTGGAGGGGGTGCAGACCGGGTGGAGGGGTAGCCCTTATGTACTGCCACAGGAGGCAAGGCTGGGAGAAGTCACGGCGCTCAGGACGAGCTCTGAGTCAGGGAGGGCACTGCCGATCACATGCCTGGGATTTTAATAATAATGGCTGTCATTTGAACGTTTGTGGATACCTGGCACCTTCTGTGGTTTATCTCACAGAAACCCCTGAACAAGGACTTGACAAGGCAGATTTTTTCTTTCTTTTTTTTTTTCTTTTTGCTGCTTGACATGGTTTTTATTTGTGAGAATTCAGGGGAACACCCAAAGAGGAAATGGGTGTGAGAAAGAGTCCTCTTGGGAGGATATAGAACCCACCCCCTACTGTGCTACTGTTCGGATCACCCTAGCCCACTGGAGTGAGCGGGAAGGCATGTGTCTGTGAGTGACAGGGTTAGAAGGTATCCTTTGCAAAACGGGCCACATGTTAGGCAAGACACACAGTAAAACAGTTATTCACAGTGTCCCTTGCAAATGGTGTGAGGGAAAGGTTAACCCACATCAGGGCAAAGACTACAAAATGCAGAAGATGAGGGCAAGCCCCTTCCTGCGCCACCAAAAGGCAGAAAGCAGGGTGAGCGCAAAACACAACAGCACCACAATCGTTGCAGTCAAGCTTGTGCGGGCTCGAACATTCTCAGCTGTTTCATAGGTCCCACAAGGAAGACAGTGCTCCCAACCCATGTGATATTACCAAAGGTGTGAAACACTTTCAAAAAGGCCTGTAGTCTCTTCCTCGGGACCCACAGCAGAAGAGGGTACCAGGCAGTGAGCAGAGAATTCCTGAACTGATACATGCCAGGAAGCCTTTTATTCTGGTATTCCAGCTTAACGAGGGTGCCTCAAGCACCTGGGCCAGGCCCCCTGGCCCTCGGTGTCCTGCACGCTCAGCAACTTCTTCAGCCCCTCGGCCTCCGCCCGCTGCGCTGCTCCATCCAGCAAGGCAGGTGTTTCCATCCCCGTTTACGGACGCGGAGGCTGAGGCCCGGAGAGGTGAAGGGGCTTGCCCAAGGCTGCTCACAACCGGGAGCTGAGTGAGTGGCCAAGTTGGAACAGCAGTTTTCTGAGCTCTTCCTTTTTGAGGCAGAGGAGAATTGGGGCTAAATCTCCCATACTTTTTTCTCTCTCATATTTGAATGTTTACTCTGAATTGGGCACTATTCTGATTTGCATATTTGCATGTATTAATCCATTGAATGCTCACAACAGCCCTCCTGAGGCAGGTCCTGTTAGTCTCTCCATTTACATATGAGGAAACTGAGGCACAAAGAGGGGAAGAAACCTGCCCATGTCACACAGCTGAACAGCAGAAGGGCTGGACTTGGATCCTGAGCTACCTGCAACTGATGTGGATGCTATTACTGGCTTTGTTAACTTCCATCTGCACTTTGTGGGGGAGGAGTTAGAATTGGGGTGACCTTGGACTTCAGATCGCCCAGGGTGGGATCCCTGCCTCAATACTTAGCACCTACGAGAGCTCAGGTGGACAGTTGCCTGAACCCCAGCTTCCTTCTCTAAAATGGGCAATAACACCAAGGTCATGGGGCTCTTGGGGGAAATGGATCTGCTGGTTGGTGCAGTGGGGGCTGCGGTCGGCTCTGGGACGTCTCTCCTCCTGCCACATCTCTCTGTCTTGCTGTCACTGGAAGACACTGCCTTGGGTCTTTAGTGCTTTATTTGGTTCCCAGAGCCACCTGTGAAAGTACAAATGCCCCAGGGAAGAGCCTGCCTTACCCCTTCCAACTCCTCACGGGGCAGTTGGGAGGGGTGGGGACAGAGACTGGGTTTTGCGGAAGCTTGTTTGACAGGAGGAAGTGAGGACCAGAGCGGGGAAGTGCCACGGCTGGGCACACAGCGAGGCGCGGGAGACATCAGCCTCCTGATTCCATGTCTCACCTCGCTTGGGCTTGACTTGTGTGTGGGGGGACCCTACGTGCTGGGAGAAACCTGTCCACCTGCCCAGTTGTCCTAGGGAATGTCCCCCCAGCAGGGGAGGGTAGGACTGTGGTCTGTCTTTGAGCAGGGAAAGAGGAGTAAGCCGGGGGGGCCGAAGTGAGGCTCAAATCTGTTACCCAGAGTGTTGGGGGCAGGCCTACCCCCACCCTTTTGGGTTCTGAGGCCCCAGAGCACCAAGGCTGCGAGGCCAGTGAGGAGTTTAAACTTGGGTAGCAGCTGGGGCCAGGCTGCCTGGGTCTGGGTGCTGATTCCCCTACTTATCAATCGTAGGAGCTTGGCTGAGTTGCTCCTCTGCGTCTCTGCCTGCGCATGTTAAAATGGGATTCATATGTTCACCCACCCTCCATAAAACATCAATGATAGGCCTGCCTGGGGTGGGCCATGCCAGTGCTGGCTGCTATTGATCACCATCCTCGTCATGACTGCTAATCACTCAGTTCGGACATTTCCAGCACTGATTCAGTGCCTCTATGGAGGGTGAAGGGTGGTGGCTGTGACTTCCTCCTGGCTGTGGCACTCATTAACCTGTGAGTTCCTTCACCTCTCTGAACCTCAGTTTTCTCACCTATAAAATGGGGATAACTCTGCTGAGTTCCAAGGCTGCTGGCTCACGGGATGTCCCCCTGGCCAAAGACACACCTTGCCTTCTGTGAAACCTCTGGGGAAGCTCACAGCTGCAACGGGGAGCTAAGTCAGGGCACTGAGGGACAGCTCCGCCCCTTCCCTTCTGTACCTCACAGCTGCGGGAGCCCAGATGGGGCTGAGCAGAGAGGACTTCCTGGAGGAGGTGTGGCTAAAACAATTTGTCAGCCCCAGGGCTGCTGTCTCCTCATCTCACCCCACAAGTCAGCTGAGAGGCCGCGGTGGCCCTCTGAATCAGGCACTCATTGCCA